TTGCTGGACTATAATTTAAAGCTCATGGGCGATATAATTTAAAGCAGAATATAATTTTGCTGGACTATATGAATACTATCAATTATAGTATTATACGTATTTTTCGGCTCATATGATTTCGATAAAAATACGGAGTTGCTGGACTATAATTTAAAGCAAAGTCAAAAACACGAAAGTCAAAATAGTATATCGCCCATAAAAACCGATATAAACTGAACCGAAATCAAATCATATGCAATTTGGTTTGACTTTGATAATAATGTCTTTCAAATCGTATTAAACTGAATCGAACTGAAACCGTTAAAAACCGATCAAAATCACATTGAATTAATTAAAGAAATTCAATAAAACTTTCATATATTATTATAAAATAACAAATACAAACCAAACCAAACTGAACTAAACAAAACTGAATCAAATCGAAAAATAGTATGATTTTGTTTGGTAATAATTCTCCTGACCCGTTCCAAACCGAATCGAACCCAAACCCATAAAAAACGAAGTGAAAATGATATGCCCACCCTAAGATTGGTTGCAACCCTCAAGTGAATATGCCACATTTGAATTTTTCACTCTAAAATCAGATCCAACCCAAAGTATTTTGGGGTGTTAAAGTGGGTTGAGGGCACCCGTTGAGTGGGAATCACCAGGCTTATTGACGGAAGTAAGAGAGAGCTAGCAGCAGCGGAAATGTTAAAAAAGTGATGGGACCCACACAAAACTTAAATCTCATTTTTATTTAAATGTCTATAACTTTTTAATTTTTATTCCAATTTTTTAAAAAAATATATCAAAATTCCTAACGTTTTATTATCTTTCATATGACATCAGTTTGATATGAAAAATTTAAAAAAAATTGTAAAGTTTTAACAGTTGAAGTTTCAGACCAAAAAGCTTCATTAAATAGATTCAAGTGCTAAAATTAACATTTCATGATCAAAATATTTTTTTTATATCTTTCACTTAGTCTTTCCAAAAATGAGTATGAAATAACATCAAAAAAAATAAATTCCAAATTTATTGATGTTTATATCAAAATGTTTGATTTTTTAAAATCATTATTTTTCCAATATTTTTTAAAAATAATTGAAGTATAATAATAAAAACAAGACTTTAATTACAAAAAGTTTTGTGGGATGAATATATTGACGGTGCTGGATTGCAGGAAAAAATGATTTGACTGAATGAATACATATAAAGAGTTGGGGAATTTGATTTATTGACGGGTCTGGGTTGGGGTAGCCTAATACCATATTCACAGGGGACCGTTACTCATCCCCGGAGTCGTTGGAGTCGTTGGAAACTTGGAGCATCTTCCCAAACTTATTTTCGCGCCCAATCCCATTCAACTAACTAACAGAAATTGTGAACGCACTAAGATATTACGGCGATGGATTATAGTGGGACGAGCGAGTATACATTACTCTGGTAATTGTATCGGAATTGAAATTCTCTCAAAATCTTTCTACCACTTGAGGCGGGATTGCGGGAAGGAAGTTAAGCTCTATCATCTTCTTCTTTTGGTTGCGGGAAGGAAGTTAAGCATGGTGGTAGCAGACCCAGAGATCGTGATGATGGCGATAAGATCAGCGAGGCCAGATTTTCGCAGTCACAGAGACAAGGTTGCCTTCGCTGTGCACGCTACTTTCATGGCTTCTGGTTTCTATCTTAACGCCACCGGCCCCCCTGCTTTCGATATGGACACCTTCTCCTCCCCCTCAACCTCCGGTAAATACTTAGAACATGTAATTCGCAAATTGAGGCCGCTTCACGAATACTCTGTCTCAAATCATTTCTACTAATGGATGTTGAACGATCTCTCTGATGTTATTTGCGAGTGTTTAGGGTTTATGATGCTGTTATATTGCCGATGTCCTAGTCTTTAGCAGTTTGTTTTTCAGAAATAGATTTAACAAATTTATTGAAATTGTACACCCTAACAACATTTTGTAGAATACAGTATCTGGTGATTCTGGTGTCAATTTATTGCTTAGAAGTGTTCCGCGTTTGTGTTTTTGTTTTTACTTCTTTGAAATCTCAAGTTATATGAACGCAGTGATGTTGCATATGAATTTACAGTAACTGCCGCATGTTTTTCCCCTCGTATTCTGTTCAGATGAGGTAGGTATCGATAATTGGAACTTCTACGATCGCCAGTATGCATTTGTGTATTCAAATTCAAATCCGGATGGAAGGCGAAACAGAGTGATAGCTCTTTGTCTTGCAAGGGGTGCAAGGGGTCGTAGGATGCTGGTTTTTTCAATGAGGAATGGCGACAGCACACTTTATGAACTCAAACTGAAGTGAGTGCCTTGCTTTCCTGTTTGGAAAATGTCGTTTTCATAAATTCCATATACCATTCTTCTTGTATTCTGTATTACGTAATACATAGGTATGCCAATTTCCAAGTGCCAGAAAGTTTTGGTTGTGTGCAGTGTTAATACCTATGTTCAGCAAGGAGACAACAATTACCCCTCAAAGTATAAGAATTTCGTGGAGCTGGTGCAGCTAATTGAACAAGGGGTGGTGAGATACCATGACTTGTCATTATCAACTAATCGGTCAAGGTAAAAATATCCATTTTAAAAACACACAGTACATACCAAGCTGCTTTCTTTTATTGTTGCTACCATCTGACTTTCTCATTTGGAGTTTTTCCCTTTAAAAAGTTGATATTATAAAATATACATCCTGAGAATATAAAAACATTTGACGTGATATGATTTTTTGTTAAACATTAGTGAAAAATTGAAAATATGATCAAAGCTGGTATACTAAATACAGCAAAATTCGATGTATTGTGATTAAACAAGAAAAGGAATGAAATGTGTGTGTCTGTGTGTATAACTCAGGATGCTACCTGTAGGTTGTTTCTTGAATGATGTATTCTATAATTATTCAAGATCGGCTCATAACCCAAGGTATTGAAACCAACATATGTGCTTGATGTTTGAAACCACAACTGAAGATTTTATGATCTCAGATATTTCTGCTATTGAACTTTCAAGCTTTAGAGTTATCATTTATTGTTCAGTGAAGTAACTTTTTTCCATCTTAATTAGGGAAGACGGTGGTTTGTTCCCTCGGTTAATATGCCACTTTGGTCTAACTTGTATACAGTTCAGAAGAAGTTGGGGATAGTGCTTATTGTTTGCATGAAGTCATCCAGTTAATAGAGTTTCAGCACGTATACCCTGTTCATCTTCAAGGGAAATCGATCTCAAATTACACCTTCAGTCATTTTGTAAATTTATGCATATCATGCGTTTCAATACCTTGTTAATTGGTTGACTCCCAAGAAGCACTCCTCACAAATCCATTTTTGCAGCAGTTTTAGGTTTTATTCTTAGGTTGGAACGATATAGAGTCATGACGTGACATTTCTTCTACTTAGGTGCAAAGAAATAATCATATACAGTATTAACTAAGTACTTCTTGGTTGGTCGCTTTTCCACCATTCTTTCACTATTTAGGCATTTAGCATTTCCATCTAACCACCATGGCATTTTCCGCGCACGCAATGCTACTGAAATCTTTCATCAGCGCATTCCCAGGTTCGTTGATTTTATATCCATTGTTCTTTTGTATGACTTTCAGTAACTGTAGTTTTCAATGTATAGGCTGATAGCCTGATATTAAGTTCATGATCTTCCATATCCTCTAAATTAATATGCAGATACTTGGCTCCTCCATTTCCTGCCACTGGGGAAATGTACATTTCTTATAGACTTCTTTTACCCAGGTTCCATAACTTTTCCCTTCTTAAATTGCAGATCACTATTCATACATCTGTCTTATGATAGTGAGGGAAAATCATCTACTCTTTATTGTGATGTACATTTTAGTTTAAGATTTCATTATCATTATTTGTTGTCTGTGCAGTTATTATATGTATAGACTTCCCGGTAGGAGAGGTTTTGGCATTTCCCCGGGACCTTATGTTTCTGTGTTTTACATGCACAGCCTTCACAGGTTCCTTAAATTAGCTTCTATTACGTATTTGCATCTATTGTTCATCTAGACTAGATTGTGATTTCAGTAAATGTGCTTCTCTTGGAAGTCTTATTTTTCTATATCCATATGAATGTGAATGTATAGTTACATCACTTACATGGCTCTACCGGTTCCTGTAAGTTGGGGAACATACACTTTCTACTATTGGACATGGTACTGGAGATTTGACTTTCCAGGTACTTTAACCTGCCTTACGTGCTTTTTATCTTTTATATTTTGCATCCTTAACATGCTCATTATATTTGCACTCTATACATCCATTGCCATCAGGAATAATGAGGATGTAGGGGAGAGGAGAAAAGTTATAGGTATGTGATGATGTTCATTTTGTAGCATTGTTGTTTGCTCATGCGTTTATTTATTATTACTGTAAATGATTTTATCTTGCAATCGCAATTGATGATAATTCTTATTCATCTTTCAGGATCAGAACGCCTGACCGCCGTGACCGGACCTCAAAATTTACATATAAACTGTTAATTTCAAAGGCTCTAATTGTATATACTTGGGTGATGTGGTGTGCTTTGGAAGTTTGAACTAATAAATATCAAATGTTTATGCGTTGAGCTTCCACAATGACATCAAATAACAGGGCCACTACTCTACTTGAAATTTCTCCATATTATGCCATATTTATATGCGTGTGGGGATGAAATCATGAAATAATTGGAATAATATCTCTCTCATTAAAGGGTCGTCTACCAGGAAGGTTGTTCACTTTGGTTAAATGTCTGAATGCCATATCTCTCATTGGACTCTTGATTAATTTACCCCGTAAAAATGCTATGTTGGTCTTGAGTTTTACATTGAGAAGAAGCTGACCAATATAATAATTGAATCTGATGCTATGGGAGATGTAAACCTGATTCAGGATAATGCCCTTGATAGACGGAAGATGTGCTAATTGTCCACAAAAATTCAAAATTTTAGGGAAGGCAATATATATGGACTGTTATTTCTAAGTTAGCTAGAAACCTATGGTTGTAAACCTTTTGACCCCCTTGTAATATAGTAAGACTATGAATTTACCTCTACTTTATCAGATAATAAAGTTTGATAATTTTAACCGCATGCTGGATCTTTAAATGTTGTTATCTTCAACTATATTATCATTAGTCATGATAAATCTTGTTTGAGTGACAAGAAAGTCACTATATACAAGAATACAAAGTATTGAGTTCATCTTCAGTTGCTATCACTTCCTCATAAATGCATGAATGGGTCTCAATGCTCCTCAGATCACCACTAATCTGATTTCCCTTGGAATCCATGGTCAAATAATCAGTCAAAGATTTCCTCGGGCTTTTGTTGCATGCGGGCATGAATCGGTCTGAATGCTTAGTCAAGTCATCCACATGAAGAAGATCATCAATCCGTACTGTGATATTAAAAGCCAAACTTTGCACAACTCGTGAATAGCTCTCTAGTATAGATTTGCCAATATCCTGGTGAGTGGGGAGCAAGAGGAAAATTTAGTCAGTGTAAAATTCTTACTGAAGCAGTGAATGAATCCTTTAGAGTATGTAGTTTGGGTCATAGAATATGTTTTGGAGAGGAGAAAAATTAGAAGGAAAGTGTTTTGTTAGTTTGGGTTTTCACCCTATACTAGTATACTGAATAAATTAATAGAAAAATGAAATAGAATTAATATAGCTGAATAAATACAAGTACTTAATTATTATAGTGTTTTGTTAGTTTGAGTTTGAGCATCTCATTCATTTTCCTCCAGATTTTATTTCCTCTCAAACAAATCTCAATTATCTTCCCTACTATTTATCATACTTTCTTCTGTTAGTATGTTTAGGGCTCCAAAGGGACCCTTAAAAAGAGAGCAAATGGAACCTTGTTATGCTGGATTTTACTCATGTTTAGTGTTGTCTGAGGAAGCCCTGGAAACCGTTTCTTCAAGCAGATGAGAAGACTTTCAGCCCTATATGCAAACACCTCTCTCTTGTTTGCATCAACCACCAACTCCTTCACCATTTCCCACGAGAGCTTCATATTCTTTGAGTTAGTTTTTTGGCGCCAAACGTGTATCGACGCCTCCAACTGGTTTGCAATCTCGAAAGCCCGATTTTGGGAGGACAAATTTAGGCAGTCAAGAAAAGACTCAGGTGACCATTGATCCGAGAAGTTGCATCCATTGATAAGCTCATCTAAGTTTGCATAGCCATTCTGCAAAAAGAATATGTTAAGCTAACTAAATAAAGTAATAAACTAACTCATGGACTTGAGTTTTTTTATAACATTATAGGATGTAACTCCAAATCTTAATATGATATCAAAGTCAATCTAATATATGGTCGTGATGTGGGCCTTCTATGAAAAATGCACGAGCCAAATGAGGTGTCGGACAGTGAAGGTATGCTCTTTTATAAAATAATTGCACGGTTAAGACCGCACACCATGAAGGTGTCGCCTTATACAAAACAGAATATTGTACGGTCTAAACGAGATTTTGGGCATAACAAGTATTTGGATTTTGAGGATGAAATATCAAGTCTTAATAGAGTTAACATATTCCATACATGGACAAACTTCCCCACCTTAGTAAGAACCTCAAAATATGTCTCTGGCACTTCCATTTCAGCTAGAGTGCCAGAGTTTATAGCCATTGCTGCATTCAGGATCTGACTTATGCAATTCCTGATGTGCTGTAACTGCTTTCTTGCATTCCCGCTAAGACCACACGTGGGGACACGAGGAACGGGCAACCACCATTTCTCCTTTGGTGGACTCTCTGAGGCTGCTACAATACCTTCTTGATCAACATACCAGAACTCTGTTGGTTCTAAGCTATCAAGGATATCCTGCAGAAAGAACACTGGATGTGAAACTATGATTGTTATTATTGGTACACAGTATACTACAAGATAAAATGGCATTTATCTTACAATGATCATATTGTCAAGCTTGAGAAGCGCGGGGAGGTTGACGTAAAGATCTTGCCTTGGTCTAGAGGTCATGACCTATACACACAGAAGAGTGTCATGGACATGGTTGACATATGACAAACTCGTCGTCCCAAACCCTACAGACTTGATTTTTTCATGGTCAATGAAAGTAAGCTTGGAATCATATACTTTTGTAATTGTAATTCAGCTTGGTTAGTGAGCAAGAAAGTAGAGTTCATTGCTAAATGGCCCAACAGTGCCATATAGGCCATGTAGTCCTAAAGTACAACCATTATGTTTCTAATATAAATAACTTTTCTAAAATGGATTAATATTACTAATTGAAAACTATTAATACTAATGATTGGAAAGTAACACTAATATCGGAAGAACGCATGTCGGGTTACCTCTCGTTTGGATCCATCTGGGAATGTTTGCAAGGATGGACTGAATTCAACAATGTAATCGCTAACGCTAAGAAGCCATTCCATTTTTCTCTTCCATGTTAACTTCTTCTTAGAGGTCAAAGGCTCTAGTCTACAGATTTTCCCAAAAATTGTTGCTGACAAGGAGAGAAAAAAAATTTGTCATACAGAAGAAGCAGATGGAGGGGATAAGTGGAAGATCAGTGATGCATTCTATATTGTAAGATTATGGATAAAAGATTAAGCAGAAGATTGAGGAGAGTGATTCCCTTCAATCAGTTTTTGTTTTTGTTTTTGTTTTTTACAGCATACCAGAAAGATCAGTGATGGCATTAGAAACAGCCAATGCTGCAGAAACGCCATCTCCACCACCTAACATATCTTGTCCGAGGATCAATTTGGAGAATGTTTCCTTAAGCATCTCAACCTCTGCATTTTAAACCAAAGTTCAACATCCATGCATAGAATGAAAAACCAGAAAGAGATGTGATTTTCTTACCAGGTGAAAATGACCCTTGTTTTTCCAGCTTCCTATCATAAAAAGAGGGCAATGACGATGAATCTTCAGAGCTACTGTGCACTTCATCATTTCCAGTTGCTTCTGACTCAAAAAGGGTAGAACTTGAAGTGCTGCTCTTCTCCCCGCCCTTCAGCTCATCATCTTCCAATTTCCACTCCACTACTTCAAAATTTTCACCCAAAAGCTCCATCTTTTCCTGTGTGATCGATACACAAAAATCAGAGCTGTTTGCTACAATGCTATCATCTTATAGAACTGGAGTAAACTTGATACACCCTTGAAGTTTTATTTATTGTATGTTTAATGTTGATGGAGTAGAAGCTTCCCATACAATCAATCATGTGTTAATGGTTTCTTTTTTTAAAAAAGAGAGTATGAGATTCGGATAAAAAGACGAGTAGAAAATAAAAGGGTGTTTTTTGTTTGAAAAAAAGTGAGGAAATCTATGTAGTACTCCGGCATTATTTTGTTATATAGACAAGTATTTGATCCAATGCAATTTCAAAATTGTTGGGGTTTGCAGCCATTGCAGGATACCCAAATTTGAATGGGCGGGCACTTTTTCTACTTTAAACGGAGTAGTTTATACTAAAGATTTTGTTGTATACAGAGTAATATATTTGGAAATTTTAATATAGGAGCACTATATTTCTCATCTCTATAACTTGGATGTCATATTTTGATATTATCAATCTTTAACATTGGCTCTATAAGTGGAAATATTTTTTGAACATGACAATAATTATTGATATTCTGACATAATAATTATTCCAAACATTTACAACATAAGTGCGACAAAAATGTATATGCTGCGTTGGATGTGTGGACATATTAGAAAAAACTACTTGCAGAACGAGATAATCACACAAAGCGTGGGAGTAGTACCTATAGAAGATAAGATGCAAAAATCTCGATTGCAGTGGTTTCGTCATGAAGACCAAGTGAATCACCTGTTAGACGACTTGAAAGGTGGGGAGAAGAGGCGGAGAGGAAGACCAAAACAGACTTGGATCAGAGGAATCAAAAATGGAAATGCTTATTCATGGGCTGGATGAGAGTATGGCTTTCGAGAGAGCAAAGTACAAAACGCATATAAGGCATATTCGCGTGTGCGATTGATCTCTTTTCTTTCTTATCTCTCTTTTTTTCTTTATCTTTTATCTTCTTTATTTTTGTATGTTCTTATGTTATTTTTATATTTATCTTTCTTATGCTCTATTGTCTTTTTTATATTGAAAGAATGACCCGAATAACACTTGTACAGTCTTGAAAGACATAACTACGACCACTTATCCAATTGGACACAAATAGGACCTCAATTGAAGCAAACGGACCAAGTTACCCTTCCCCAAACGATTTCCCGCAGCCAAACCCTTCTTCTATACTCTCTCAATTCCAAAATTGCAGAGAAGAAGGTACGATTCTCTGGTATACCACCACTCCACCGTAACCCATCTTCACCCGCCGCTCCACCCTCACACTCCATCACCGTTGTAATCAAGTTCAAATCCGTCTCTCGAAGTTCACCATTGTTGCTCGACGTTGTCTTGTTCTTCTAACGCGGCTTCGATGTACTTCAAATCAGGTGCAAACTTTCATTCCCAGATCTTCGTCGACTGTTTCTTGGAAGTTCACCTCTAAGGTTCCCGATTACTAGGTTTCAGATCCGGAATATTTTGCTCCGGCGACAACGATTGAAGTTGACGGTGATCTATTCCGGAATGAAGCCATGCGCCTCTGTGGATTTTGAATGAAGTCGGAGTGGATATGATCATCTTCGATCATATCGGATTGAGAGGGGATGACCGGATGGGGATAGATTGGGGGCTGGTGCGGTCACTGGACTGGATCTGGGTTGGGGTTAGAAAGTGATAGGGGTTGGTGCGGGGCAACTGCAGTCCCTAGGCGGTGGAGTCTGGACGCCGGAAATTTGGTGGTCACCGGCGGCGGTCTCCGGTGATGGCCAAAGACGGTGGTCGGCGGCGGTCACTAGCATGTCGGGTAGCGGTAATGATCGGATGATAATGATCGGACTATGTAACTGTAACTGATAGGCTCTAATGACCGCAAATAATTGGATCGCAAAATTGTAACTAATGAGATTGTGTAACTGTAACTCATTAGGTTAGATAATTGAGCGGACGGAAGTCACTATGTTATTGGGCCGAATTTTTGGTAATTGATGATTTTGGTCACTGACGAATTTTGGATTTGGTCACGGGTGAATTTTGAATTTTTGGTCACTAATGATTTTGAGGATTTTGGTCACTGACAGATTTTCGTAATTGGACGAATCGGGTAACTGTAACTGGACGGATCAGATAATTGTAATTGGATGAGTCGTGTAACTGTAACTGGACGGGTCGAGTAACTGTAACTTTAACTGGACAGGTCAGGTAACTGTAACTGGACGGGTGAGGTAACTGTAACTCGACAGGTCGGGTAACTGTAACTAGACGGGTCGCGTAATTGCAACTGGACGGATTGGGTAACTGTAACTGGACGGGTCGTGTAACTGTAACTGGACGGGTCGGGTTGGGTAACTGTAACTAGACGGGTCAGGTAACTGTAAGTCTGTAACTGGCCGGTTCGGGTCACTGTAACTGGACTGGTCGGGTCAATGTAATTGAACGAGTCGTGTAACTGTAACTGACGGATTTTTGGATTTTATGTCCCAAATGATTTTTGGTCACTGGGTGGATTGGTCATGGTCACTAGTCAGATTGGTCATTGGACGGGTTGACGTTGGTAACTAGGTAAAATTTTTGGTCACTACTGATTTTGGTCACTGACGGATTTTTGGATTTTTGGTCACAAATGATTTTTGGTCACTAGATGGATTGGTCATGGTCACTAGTCAGATTGGTCACTGGACGGGTTGACGTTGGTAACTAGGTAAAAAATTTGGTCACTAATGATTTTGGTCACTGACAGATTTTTGGATTTTTGGTCACAAATGATTTTTGGTCACTAGATGGATTGGTCATGGTCACTAGTCAGATTGGTCACTGGACGGGTTGACGTTGGTAACTAGGTAAAAATTTTGGTCACTAATGATTTTGGTCACTGACGGATTTTTGGAATTTTGGTCACAAATGATTTTTGGAATTTTGGTCACAAATGATTTTTGGTCACTGGGTGGATTGGTCATGGTCACTAGTCGGATTGGTCACTGGACGGGTTGACGTTGGTAACTAGGTAGAATTTTTTGTCACTAATGATTTTGGTCACTGACGGATTTTTGGATTTTTGGTCACAAATGATTTTTGGTCAGTGACGAATTTTGGTCACGATAATGGTTTTGGTCACTGTGGCGTTATTGTAGACTAATGGGTGAGATTCTATTAAAATAAGGGTATAATAGTCTCTTAACCCATTGTTAGTCTCATTTTTGGAAAATTGAAATAAAGGTCTCTTTTTTGTTCATAGCTCTTTTTTTAGTATTATTTTAGACATAACCCCTTTTATATTTCTTATGTTCTTATGTATCTATATATATATATATATATATATACATATATACATATATATATATATATATATATATATATATATATATATATATATATATATATATATATATATATATATATATATATAGATAAGAGATCACATACTAACCATGCTTAAAATACTAACTTACTAACTCAATAATATGCAACACATTGAACTTCAATATGCAGTACAAATAATGTAAAGATGCACACTGTGAATTTCAATATGCAATAAAAACAATATGCAAAACTTTTAACTTTAATATGCAGTACAAATAATATGCAACACTTTGAACTTCAATATGCAGTACAAATAATGTAAAGATGCACCGTTTTTTATAGTTTGTAGGTTAGCATAGGAGGAATGGTTAGTATGTGATCTCACCCCTATATATATATATATATATATATATATATATATATATATATATTTATCTTATACATTTTATCTTACTTTATCTATGATAGTTGAAATTTTATATATTGTGGCCAAGCGCGCCTTTGGTCACACATGTTGGATATGCAGGGCGTATTGATCACGCATGACGCCTAGGCTCGCCTATGCAGTGCTTTTTGGGGCTTTTTAGAACACAGATTATACTCCTTATATACTGAATTACGAAGTATCATCTTCATATAGACGTGTAAAAAAAACTGGCACGTAAGGAACCATTTTGCCCCAAAAAATTTGGGGCAGATCCGGCTCGTCACATCTTGTAAATGAGATATATTGCCCATGTATACAATAGGGTGGGTCTAGATATTAGTATTGACTCGTGCCACCTCATCCCGCCCCACTCAATATAGAAATCAATATTTTTAAAATTATATGTAGTACTACAAATACATTTATGCGCACACACATATAGTGTGTGCGTATAATAGATCGTAAGTCCCTTAGTCTTGTAATATATTACGGAGTAATATTTATATTTGAACGAGATGAGCCATAACTGTCGACATCATTTTTATATTTACCATTTTATAAGTTCCTTAGTCTTGTAATAATTAATATATTACTTGTAATATTTATATTTGAACGAGATGAACCATTAATTGTTGTTTGTTGACGTCATTTTTATATTTACCATTTATATTTTCATTTATTAATATAAATAGATTAAATGTTCGAGTCGAGATGGGGTTTTTCTTAGTTTTTACACTTCCCATTGCATTGTAACTTTGATTTATTATATTTATTTTTTTATAATTATTTGGAGGTAAACATGCATTAGATTACAACGGAATAGCGTGGGGCAGCTCTTGCACGGAATAGCGTGGGGCAGCTCCTGCATGGGACATGTCATGGGTCAGCATGTAATGACCCATATGGGTCACGGGGCGGGTTCACTTAGTAAAATCACGAGACGGGTCTCAGTCCTGCAATACCCGTCCCAACCCAATCACCCGACTGATTGTCATACCCATCTTTTTACCATTACAATCTCCCCGGTCCCCATTTATGAACTTATAATACGACTCATTCGATACACCCAATCATCTTTATTATCGGATTTTGTATATCAAATTTCTATATGTCGTTTAAAGTTCTTCGCAACTCAGAGCATGTTTGATAACAGTGAAATTAGTTGAATCGGCTGATTGTGACAAATTTGATTAAGTTATGGATTAAGCGGTTAAATTGGATGGATCTGCTGAGTTATGAAAGAATTATATTTAAAATGTATGTTTTTTAAAAAAATGAAAATAGGTAAAATGATCCTTTGTAGTAACTTCAGTCAATATAGTCAAAAAAGTAACTCCAACCTTACTTATTTTAATTATTACACAGTTCAGCGCTCGAAATAAAAAATTACATGTTTGATGAATTTTTTTGGATAAGACTTAAATGTTGTGATGAAAAAGTTGGTTGGTAAGATTGATATATAAAACGAAAGTATAGATTACCAAAACAAAAATTTATGGTGCACACAAAATTTATACACACTTTGCATACATTTGTACGTAAGTGTCTGTACACATAGACAATTGTTGCGTGAGCTGCCTGTGTAAGAAGCAACTAGGGGTGTACACATTGTACGTGTGCACAGACAATTATGTACAAATATGTGGCAAATGTGTACAAATTTCGTGTACAAATAATATTTTTCTTTCCAAAAGGGCTCTCATTATTTTTCCTAGTAGTGTTTGATTACTTAAAATTTTAATTTCAATATATTGATGAGAGAGACAATTTTATGAAATAATTGTGGATATATGATCAGAATAAGCATAATTGATAAAAATGGTTTTATACACATGGATTATAATAGTATCCTTTTGTAACTGAGATTATTCTTAATTTTACATAGTACTGCTCAATGTTCTAAAAGGCGCTAGGCGCTAGTCGGGCGCTAGTCGGGCGCCAGCCCAGCGCCTAGCGCCTAGTCGGCTAGGCGGGCGTCTAGGCGGGGACTAATCGGAGACATCAAAATTGTCGGTTTTATCAATATTTTGCATAAATATGATTAATAATGTTGTGTTTGTGTGGTTATAAAAAAATATATACACACACATACACATTAACATGCATGAATGATAGAGTTATCACATTTAGTATTATATTATATCTACTCACTTACAAGTCACTTACTCACTAGTAGCTTTCTTCACATGCATTGTCAAAGTTAAAGGTACATATTTCTTAGATACTAAAATAAAAAAGCAAAAAAAAAAATGATCGATGAATCTAGATGCCTAGGCGGCCCATTAAGCGCTCTGGGCGGGCAACTAGGCGCCCTAGATGGCCGACGAATTCACCTAGGCACCGATGCAATTAGTCGGAGCGCGTAGACCAAAATCGGGGCGCCCGACCACCGCCTAGCGCCTCGGCAGGGACTGGTCGGGCGCCTAGAGCGATTTTTAGAACAGTGCTACTGCTAAAAATAAGTGCTAAATTATATTTCTGAAATGAGAGTTAATTATTGCGAATCTATGATTTGGAAATCATATTGTCATATCTCAACATTAACGGATCGGACATTAATAAGCTCATATTAAAGCATCCTCATTAATAGGATTATTATGAGATTAAGTGAATGACATGACAGTTTTTTAGAAAATAATCATTGAGTTACATAGATTATTTAATGAGATTATTTGCTACAATAATCTGGGATCAAAATATGAATCCAGATTATTCTAAAATTATTTGAAAAGTATGTGTAATAGAGATTAATGCTGGGCAAAGAAAAATCATATTATCTGAAGATGATGATTGAGAGGCATAAACGAATTTTGAGATTATTCTAAAATTAATTACATAACAATATTTAAATGGTAAGAATGATAGAAAAAATTGATTATTGGAGATCATGAATGGAGATGCTCTTAGTGTCACAATTGCAATATTTTCCAATCATGAAATTACATCTATTTAAAGTAGAAAAATATAATCTTATTTTTACTTCTATGTATGGTAACTTCTGGTAGACAATTATAATGTGATGTGAAAATCTTAAAATGGGTTATAATTTTTTTGATGATCTAGGGGTCGGTGTTTGCGCTCCCCTAATCCCGAAGTCTATTGACTTCCTTCCAAAGTCTCTCGACAGTTAAATCCAGATCCGATCACAGTCAACCTTCGTCGGTATTGGTTGCACAGGACGAATCCAGCAGGACTTCCTTTCAGCTGAATTCAGAGGGTCCTCCTATAACGCAGAGCTTCCTTTCAACTAAATCCAGAGGGTCCTCCTACCACGCGAACTCGAGCCTGAATTTCCTTCCCCTCCCTTCTTAGCCGTTGTGCAACTCCGTGGTGGGAAGAATCATTGGGGACTTCCTTTCAGCTGAATTCAGAGGGTCCTCCTATAACGCAGTGCTTCTTTTCAACTAAATCCAGAGGGTCCTCCTACCACGCGAACTCGAGCCTGAATTTCCTTCCCCTCTCTTCTTAGCCGTTGTGCAACTCCGTGGTGGGAAGAATCATTGGGAACAAAGCCTCCATCATCTTCCCTGGGTGCATAGCGGATTTCAAACACGAGACCTTACATATGCACCGGTAACCACACAAATTAGGATGTATCATTTTCAGTTTTTCACGTGATGATGATACATTAGTAACGTCATCATGATGGTTTATATCATGTGATTAGTGATAACCCTGCATTCGTCACATTTTGAAGTATTGAAAAGCGTTCTATATTTTGAACATAGTCCCTCCAAGGTCCAAATGAGTTGTATATTTTGAACATGACAAATGTTAGAGGTACCTCAAAATGGGTACCCCATTTGTACCTCACTCTATGAGTGGCTCACAAAACTCCAACCCCACAAAATAATTGCCCTACTTAAATTCATTGCTTTTCTTAATCACAAAACTAGAGAAGGGTACAAAATGGAGTATAGAATGGAGTATAAAATTTTTCTTTTGAACATAGTCCCTCCAAGGTCCAACCCGAATATTGCGCCGCATATTAAACGTAGTACGAAGTATTCAACACAGACTTTTGAACATTGAATACATGGATCCTATTTGACTTGACTTTAATTTACATCTTTACCGAATTGATATGGGAAATAAGTAAAAGTAAAATTTGACTGGGCGGGGTATATTTGTAATCTTCAAGATTCCAAATAATCATTTGTCCAAGCTGTCCTTGGGTATGACAAAATAAGATTCTCATTCGATTGTTTTTTCATTCGATTGTTTTCTAGAAACAATAGTGCGATTGACCTCATTTATTGCCTTTAAATGATACTACCTCCATCCCACTAAGATTGGGATGGAATAAGATGACACGATTATTAAGAAAAGTAGGTTTGTGTGGTTGATATTAAATTGATAAAGTAAGAATAAAGTAAGAATTGTTTAGATTCTCACAATCTTTACCAAATTTGGTATGAGACAATTTTAGTGGGACTTCACGAAAAGATAAAAAGGGACAATCTTAGCGGGATGAAGGGAGTACTATATATATTCAATTCGTAATTACGGAAACTTACTATGGGGATTAAAGGATCAACTGTCTTCTTTGCTAAATTGGCGGTCGATCTTCATAGGTGCCGTTTGGTAACACCCCTTTTCGGCTTATCAGGCTTATCAGCCAACTTTTCCACCAAACACGTAATTTTTGCTTTAGCGTGCTGAATTGTGTAATAAGCAGAAAAAGTAAGGTTGGAGTTACTTTTCTGGCTGTATTGGCTGAAGTTACTGTAGATGACCATTTTAGCTATTTTTACATATAATTTTTTCTTTATTTTATTAATAAAATATATTTTAAAAATATTTTTTTATTAAATCAACAGAATCAGCCAATGCAGCCACTTCAGCCAGAACTTCAGAAATTTCAGCAGAATCAGCCAAACCAACCGATTTTCCTTCTACCAAACCGGCTCATAGTCTCATAGTTTGAAGTCTTTGAATTATGCTCATAAGAAAATACTAATGAACACTCCGACCATTAATTCATGTTTACCGCTACAAGACAATATTTGAGAATTTTCATTTCAATTTAAATTTAAAGGTGTATTAGTTGCAACAATTTGACTAAATTGTACTTTGAGTAATAATAATTCACATATTCTATAATTAGTACTCCGTAATAATTTTAAAATTCACATTTACATGTTTTACCTGGAGATAATTTAACAAGAATCTTTCATACTCTGTATTGTGGTTTATTAATACATTAGTAAAAAATGAGATAATAAAAGGTAATCAAAGTAGAATATATAACAATTTAACAAGAAATTTTCATATGGTTCATTAATTGATACATTAATGAATAAAATGAGATATTAAAAGGTGATCAAAGTAGAATATACGAATAGTATAGAACTGAAAACATATAAACACTTTGAAGAGATGTGCAATGGCACAACATTTAATTTCTACTCATACCCAAGGAAAAGAAGAATGGCTGATAGGGGTGGGAAAAAATAAAGATAACATGAGAGATAGTTAATGCCATTAAGTACAAGAAAACTGAGAAAAAGTCCTTTATTCTTTAATCAGAATGCAAAGAAAGCTTATATAGGGAAGGAGAACCAGAACACACAATCTTCTCTGAGAGACAGAAGTACCCAATGGACATATAATTATACAGGTAGGATAATTAGGCATATAAAAGGATATAAAAAGAAGCTCCCATCTTGTTTATGTTAAAAAGAACTCATTGCCACAAAAGCTCTTTCCCTTCTGCATCAGTTCTTGTGAAAATCTGGGTGCTTCACAACAGTCACTGGGCAGGTCGCAGTTGACAGCACATAGTTGGTCACACTCCCCATTATTATCCTGTCTCACCCCCAATATTAGTAATAAGATTAATTAAAACTATAGATATTGAAACTGATTAGGGTGAAAGTACCAGGAGGTCCTCTATTAGTCTATTATCAGTTTGTTCACTTCAATCCTTCTACTCTAACTGAATTCAATTCTCTGGACTATATAATTTAGTACAATTAAGAACAGTTATTAACACCGCTTTAAGCTTTTATTATGAGGTCCAGAATTCACTTTTGTCATGTCACAAATGCTCATTTGGAAAGCTATGCCAAATTTAATATCTTTTTTAATAAATAAAAAATTATCAAGAAATTTAAATATGTTAGGCATTGTACTAATGAGCTTTAAAATGATATTACCTCCGCCCTGAAATTGTGACAAGGGGAAGGTGATGCAGTTATTATAAAAAGTGGAATTGTATGATTGAATTCGTAAAGTTTGAATAAAGAAGAATGAATTCCAACAATCCAAATATTACCAAATATGGTATGCGACAAACTTCATGAGACCGATAAAAAAGGTAGGACAAAGAAAGGGAATGCAAGAAGTAATTTTTTACATATTTAAAATATTTTATTAAAAATCCAACTGACAAGCCAAATCAGAACAAAAATGACATGCTAGTGATGATATCGAGACCGTATAATAGAAATATTTAAGAATCCCATTGACATGCCGAGATATCAGGACTATATAATAAAAATTCAAGGAGATAGTTAATGTCTCCTTGATTGTACTAAATTATACACGGAAAATAAATTGAAGTCATTTAAAGTAGTAAAGGGACGCACTAAAGTGAACAAAAGTATAAATTACATTAGAGGGACCTTCCAGGTACTTTGACAGAGATAAAGATCAGCTGGGGAAATTGTTAGGATTGTTATGAAGAAACAATGGAGTAAGAAAAATAACCTCTGCAGGGTGCTAAGGCCTCTGCTGCCCATAACCAAAGAGTCCAACTTCAGATCTTCAGCTGCCTCGATCAGCTTCTCCCTTGGATCACCCAAGTACAGCTTTGTAACTACGTTTATCTGCACAAAATTCATCCGGCTGTTTTTTATTTATTTATAATACATAGGTAATATTAAAAAGGGAAATTTCCTAGATAGGAGTATTACATGTCCCTTTCCTAAATGTAAGTACTACATTTTTTAGCCTATTAAATCACTATCAAACTGTCATAAATTGGCATTATGATGCAATTAATGTGACATACGAAGTACTTTTTAAGCATAATAACAGTAACCACTCTTTTATTAGTGCATTTTCTGTATTAAAAACTCTATCCAAAGAATCAATTGAATTGAAGACCTATAAGCAAAAAAGTTGAAGTTAATCAGATTGAGAAGATACCTCTTTCTGCCTAGTAGCAGTATCAAGCAAGTCCAGAACTTCAATATTAGTCTCAATATCGTACTTCTTCATCACCTCCGGCTCACGGAATTCAGACAAGGGGATCAAGGCTTGAAATCAAACACAAGATCAAAATTAATTAACTACTGTAGTTGATTAATCAATAGATACTTGAAATCGAATCGGAGAAAAGCAGCAAAGAGATAATTCCTTTTGGACTTACGAGAGCCAGATTCAGACCACAGCTGGTTGCGAGATTCGTGAGGAACATGGGATTTGATGTGGATAATGACGAAAGTATCGCCTTTATCGGCTAAATTGTCGATTGCCCATTTAAGCGCGGCTACGCTGCTCTTCGAGAAATCCATGGCGACTCCGATCTTCCTATCTTTCACCATCTTCTTCTTCTTCTCTGCTCCTTTCTCTTCCTACTTTTTGTGCTAGCTGAACACCGCCCTATAAAGATGGAGTTGCTTCGCGAATCACGCAAGGTTCAGTTTTATTCGTGTCCAAAATACAAATTGTGCAGCTGCTTAATTGTTTGGATGTTTTCAATTTGAAAAAAAAAATGTCAAATCGATTTTGTTACTTTAACTTTCATCAATGAAGTAAAATGGGCGCATAAAAGAAATTCAAATATATTATGTGTTAGAAAAAAGTGTAAGAATATTCAAAAAAAAAAAAATAGTGTATGAATATGAAATGGAATATACTAAATTTACTTAGACTAATAAATTTTTTGTTATGAATTGATAAATAATAAAAAATAGATTGAGTTGTACTTTAAGTTCAAGATAAAGAAAAGTAAAATTGAAATTAAATTTTTAGTATTTTGATGGAGAAGGGAAAAAGAATTGAAGAAAAGACAAATAAAGAAGAAGCCAAGAAAAAAGGAAAAAGATGCACTGCACGGTAGAGAAAAAGAGAGCGCAAATACGAAGTACGAAGTATTTTATACGATGTAGTGGGATCGGTACACACTGTGCAATCGGTGTAACAATCGACATGAACATCGACATGAGCAGACCTAACCTTATCTCTGTCGTTCATTCTTCTTCACAAGTGAGCCGTCATACCCCTAGGCTGTCGCTTAACCATTCGTCCACATCGGCTGCTATCACAACTTCCATGATGTATTCCACTAGGGCTGGACTCGGGCCGGTTCGGGCCTGGGCTCGGCCGGACCTCGGTTCATGAAAGGGGAGGCCCGGAACCGGCCTGTCCTTCGCCCGGTGCCGGTTCGGGCCGGGTCACCCGCCACGTCCCGGGCCGGGCCAACCGCCGGGTCGGGTCGGGCCTAGGTTATATTTTTTTACTTATTAATACAACTTGAATATGAAATACATTTTTTCAAAAAATACTGATACAATAAATCTAAGTTGTAAGTTGTAAGTTTGTAACCAATTAATTAATTAATTTGAGAAGTCCTACATATAAAAAAAGAATATATATTTATTTGAAATATGAACTACAACTTTACAAATTACAATAGAGAATTGAAGGAAAAATTAAAACATGAAATACATTTTATAATAAATTGTAAAATACTAATCAATCGGAATCTTCGGCATAGGAGCCACCCTCGGGCCTCGATTGTTGATTCATCCATAAAGTCTTGGGAGGGGGTGATGCTAATTTCTTGACATCTACGTATGGCCTTCAACCAATCGTGATAGCATATAACTATATAAGCTTCTCAAGAGAATCAGCGCTCAAACTCGTTCTAGATGCCGTTAGAACGTTGCCGGCCGAACTAAATTCTTGTTTCACGGCAATTGTTGAAACCGGCATTGATAACACTTGCTTAGTCATCCGTGCCAAAATCGGGAACATTCTTTCTTTTGACTTCCACCACTTTACAACGTCAAACTCCTCATTTTCGTCAAATTCTACCTCAGAATTTATATACAAAAAAATCTCATTAAGTGCGCTTTGTTCAGTAGTGTGAGTTGTTTTAGGTTTTTTCATAAGATTGCCAAAAGCAGATTTAAAAAGTGATTTTCCCTTAGATGATCGAAGATGTGTGTGTCGGGGGAGGGGGTGCGTTTCCATATTGTGCACGAAACTCATTAAATAAGTGATGTGAGTTTTCTCGCACTTAAAATAGTTGTAGAAAAGTGGTTGAAAGTACGAGTATCGTCTCCACAGGGACGGACAAAAGGGAATTAAAGATTAACTAAGTTCAGCGATTAAAAAGAAATAAATAAAATAAATGCGATTGTGCGAGATTGATTGGTGAATAAAATTAAACTAATGCGAATGAACGATTAAATTAAAAGATTGGTTTCTTCTCAATTAACGACGAAGGGAATAGGAATTGATTCCGGGGTTAACCAGATTTCTGGCAGATCAGGCCTAATTACATGAATTTAATTTAATTGAGCCTAGTTAATCATTACTAAGTTCTTACTGCTCTCGCGGCGTAGAGTACAATAATTTAGAGGACCAGGCTGATCTCTCATGCGACAAGATCCTAAATTATTGCCAAGACGAGCGAGCTTACGGCCCCTTAATCACTACTAATCTCTTAGCAAACGATTAAGTGTGCGTGAATGTGTCCTAGAACAAATTAGATCTCTCTTAATTTATTCTATAAGCAATTGTAATTCTAGTGGCCATCTAGGTTACAAGAGATATCAATTAAATTATTCATACACAAATTAAACGGCATTCATGCAATTAAACCGACAAGAATCTAGCCATACATCATGATTAGCCCCTTCATCAAGCCCAAATCCCTAATTAAACTACTCACAATTCATAATTGAATAATCAACAGAATTGGGATGAATAGAAATAATTGTCATTAATTAAAAAGATGAAACTTACAAAGAATCTCAGGGTCTTGAACAAAATAGCGGAAAAACACTGTAAAACACGTCCCTAAGCTTCTCTCTAGGTTTCCGAACCCTAAAACGGGGTTAGGGAAGCCTTATTTATAGAAAACAATGAGTTTGGGTCGAAAAAGGACAGATCAGCGGTACGCACGGAGCCTACGCACGGCGTGCGTTGCTGCCGTGCGTCCGACGGACCTGCGCGTGAAAATAGGCAACGCACGTCTGTGCGTTGCTGCCAGTAGCTTCTCGAAATTTTAATGCTTTGAACGCACGGCGTGCGTACCCGGACGCACGGCCGTGCGTTGCTCCCAGTAGCCCTTCGTCTTTCAACGCCTTGGACGCACGGCGTGCGTACCCGGACGCACGGCCGTGCGTTGCTCATTACTTTTCTTGGCTGCTACTGCCACGCACGCACACCGTGCGTCCCTGTACGCACGGACGTGCGTGGCCTTTCTTCTTCATTTGCTTCGATTTCTTCCGTTTTAAGCCTCCGTTTGACTACTCGATCGATCCAATAGCTCTTTCTTCATCAAAACATCATCGTGAATCTCCCGGTGGCCTCCAAATCTCTCAAATCTTCTTCGAATGCTTCCAAACTCTGCCCGATTGCTTCTCAAGCGTCGATTGCCGGACTCTAACTTCTTCAAATCAACTCCAAATGCAATGAAACTCGATCCAACGTCTGCTAAACACAACTTGAGCCAAAATTGAGACTTGCAACGCCTTAAAGCTAGGAAAATCATCAAAATCCAACCCGGACACGCATCAAATGCGTGTCTAAATACGGACTTATCAGACTCCCCCACACTTAAGCTTTTGCTTGTCCTCAAGCAAATCGAACCACGGGACTTACGATAATCACCACACGAAATTTCAAATAGTTAGCATACACACATAGTTAAAGGGATATTCACAGGACAACCAATCTAAACCAAGAAAATTCTTCCCTAAACTACACCTTTATACTCAAGCTAAACTATTTGACACAATTATTCACAACATCCTCAAAGTAATGACAGCCTACACAAATAAGCTAGCTACTGATCAGAAGGACTTGTGAATGTGATGGTGAATGGATAATAATGATAGTCCCTTTATTTTGAGAGATCGGAATATTCTAACAAAGACTCAATGCATTCAGGAACTTCAGGGCTATTCCTAGGAACAAGGAACTCAGTAGGCCACAAATTAGGAACAATCATTTAAACCTATGCAAAGAGTAGACATGGTGTACAACTAAGCTAAACCGCCGCGGCACATTTGTGCTTTGACGTATACTTGAAGTACGCGGAGGACTAAAGCTAATTTTTCAATAGCCTCCAAGTTCATTAATTATGGTTTAGTTTTCCTTGTCATGTTGGCACGATAACGCCATTTCTTTCGAAAGATACCCAAGTCTCATCTTACGCTTTTTGATCGGGGCTCCCATTCTCTTTTTCGAAAAGTAAGAGGTCTAGCTATATTAATTTTTCACCTTTCGGATTTTCACTAGACATTACCCCATTCTAATCTCGGCCTCACCAAGGAAAAATAGCAATTAAGGTTCATTTATTTAAAAGTGAATCCATGCCTACAATGCAATCCTCGGAAGTATCATATTCCTAAAAAGTGATTGATCTTACCCCATTTGGGGCATAGGAACAGTGCCAAAAATGGCTCCTACACAAAATTCCCTAAACTCAACAAATTACTCCCTTAATTCCCTAAACATCAAGACTATGTCAGAAATATTCACGGGTAAGGAAACAGGCCATTTAGCTATGGAGCTCAATTAATCGGGTAACAATAAACGGTCAGGCTCAAAATGGCTTCTCCTAAAGGGTCTTATTCAGGTGGGGTGGATGATTAATGGAAAATTCAATGGGTGACTAATGCCTTCATCCTTTCAACAACTAGATTATAGTGTAAGCAATTTAAGCCTAAACACTTCAAGGATGTTCTAAAAGTATAGTCAAAACGCTAGCCAGCTCACAAAGACACAGTTTAAAGAAAAAATTTTCAAAAATTTTGCATGAATTTCCTATGAATATACAACTAACACTTGCGCATGCTAACTTTAATAATCACATGTAGCAACTACTGCCCGAATGCCCAATTCACTCCCCCACACTTAAACTTTGGCATCGTCCTCGATGACAAAAAATGCACTATGCACAAGGGAGTAAAGAGGATAGGGTCACACTGTTTAAGCAAAATATTGATAAGCTAAAACTAATTAAAAAGGAATTCGTATAAAGAAAGGGCTTCGAACAAGAATAGAGAAGGAGATGACAAGAGAGTGAACAAGAAGGAAAACTTGAGTATTATTCGAATGTTTCCGCTGCCTTGATTACAATGAGGCTATTCTATTTATAGGAAAAGCAATTAAAGCTCTAATGATGGTTTTTTCCGTTATTGACGGATTGGCCATCCGTTACGTACTGACGGATTCAAATCCGTCATAAAGGCTGGTCAAACACATTTAATACCCTCCTTAATCACATTAAGGAGCCTAATAATGTACAAAAAACGTTACAATATTTAAAAATGATATTCTTGACGCTTCAGTGACTCAATTTGTCTGTTTTGACGGTTTGACGTAACGGTTCTGACCCGTCGTCGGTTTCGCAACTCGTCATCAATGTTGGCCAGCTCAAAAATAAGTAACCTCCAGCCTTAATATCGTTGATAACTCCAGCAATAAACACAAATCCGTTACAACAG